TATGCGTCAAAAATGTAAACACAACCCTATGAAGATCAGAGTCAGTATATGTATATGTCTTGAAAGAATGACATGCTATTTCTTGTTTTGTGACCATTCCAACTTTATTGAGATTCTCGGTCTTTATTGAAGACCATACTGATTTTGAGATTTCTTCGCTGCAAAAAGCATGGTAACCAAAATCCTTGCAGAATCTTGTACTGAAAAATATCAACTTTATAAGGGTTTTAGGACAAGCAATATATAACCCAGATCATCTCAATTAAGCTCTGTTTGTTGTAGAACCCATCTTAGCATTCTGACATATCTAAGGCTACATTTGCAATCACATAAAGACTTTAAAGCTTGTGGAACCAGCCTTAGCCTAGTGGCGATAATTTCCTCCACCATTGTAGAGGAATTGAGTGTAACCCGAATCCATAATTACATCTATTGAAGAAATAAAAGGCTGGATACCTTGACCTACTGTAAACATCTATAAGCAAATCCTGAAAATATTTTATCCTGGCACCAAAAAAGGGTTAAAAAAAAAGGAAGGAACGGAAATGAAATATGGCAATGGTACTTCATACTCACGGTAATACTCCACTCACCAAATATCCAGAACAGGGATAAGACCTGAAGGATAGCCACACTTATTTCCCAAATACATGTATCTAAATTTGCTAATTATGACCTCACTGTGAACGACAGAAAAACATGTAATGTAGTAATATATTATTCAGCACAAGTACCAAGAGAAAGAAATATCAACCCACAATATAAAGAATTATTAGCCAGAAAGATAGCTACCCTGGCAATATTATCTCCTGAGTTAATGAAACTTCGACATGATTGCTAAAGGGTACGAGAAATTACATTTAGAAAGCACAAAAGAGACCCAGCAAGTGAACCTCCAACAGCCAGAAGCGCCAGGAATCGGAAATTGAAAATTGTCTGCATGAAAATGAATAAGAAATAAACATTTACAAGTCCAGTAGAATTAGTTAAATTCAGCCTAAAACAATATAAAAATTTAAGTCACAGGGAAACCGATAAGTAAATATTCTGTTTTCATTAAAAAGCCAGAACGGCCTTCATCACTTCCTTATTAAACAAAGTACCAAAGTATCAATCCACTGTCTAATTGACAGAACAAGTCAAACACTCATACATCCCCAAGCAGAAACAGATGCTACAGTTGCACTATTTATTGTCACTGAGCAATATGTCGAATAGTTGGACTGCATAAACCCTAGTAAAACCGCCCACTCGCCAGAAAACAAACCTACTAAAAAGGACTTCCTTATTAACCAAAAAAAAACCAGGAAAAATCAATCACGCAACAGTCATACAATTGGAAGTTACAACAGTCATACGTGATATTAAACCCTACAACGTTCAATACAGGAATAGAGTAAATCAAATATATAGAAGTTACCCTCTCGATGTTAGACTCAGTGGATCGAGCAATCCTGACAACTGGATTCCCGTTTTGGTTGGATAAATCAAAGGCCAAGATCGAATCGGGAGGTTTAGGTGAGTTCAGAGAAGGTGAAGTCTTAGAGGACGAGACAGTTTCAGTATTGGTAGGAGATGAGGAGGATTCGGGGGAGGGGACGCTTAAAGAGGCTAAGGGAAGAAAAGACCGCCGGAGTTTTGGTAAATTACGGCGGAGACTTGGTGCCGATACGGAGTGTGAAAGCATGGAGGTTGTCGCGAATAGAGCCATTGAAGAAGAGACAGAAATGAAAGAAGGGGGTGGGCGGCTGGACGAATTGAAGGTAGATTTTTGGTGGTGGATGGCGGGTAATAACGGAATTTTGTCATGGGCTATGGAGTGCACGCGTCTGATAAGGCGCGTGAGTTGGTTTATGACAAACAGTGAGTTCAAGATATTTTTGTAGGATATTAAGAAATATAATATTTATGAATCCTGCAGCCTCTAAATAACTAATACTAAATAATTAGTTGTTTTCATGTAAATATATATATATGTATATAAGTTAATAAATACTTATATGAAAACAGAATCTCTTAATTCTCAGTTCATATTTTTCATATAAACTATTCTTAAAAATCTGAATCAAAAAATATATATTTATATGTTCAAAATTATAAATATATATGTATTATTTTTTATAACAACAATTAGTTCAAAAAAATTACAAAAAAAAATATGTTCAAATTTTTTATATTTCATAATAAAAAGAATATTTAAATTGACATAGTCTCGACAAACAAGTTTCAACTTATTCGTTACTTTTTTTTTTATTAAAAATAGGTGAAAATTTAAGGTCAGATTCATTCTCTACATATGAAAAAAATAATTTGTCCGCTTCACGAAAATATATTAACTAATTTCTTTAGATTAAAAACGTATTTAAAAAAATAATATAGTTTCGACAATTTTATATAAATACAAAAGCACATATAGATTAGATGTACCAAACACATCAAGAACCAGGTAGCATCAGTGCTCAATTCAGCTAAAATATTATTATTTTGTGTCAGCACAATTATAATGAACTATTGATGATGATGTCCTAAAAAAATTTTCATTTTCAGGAGCAATAATCAGCTCAGAAGAATGATAAAAAGGAAAATTATATACAACTATTGGAACCCTCTTTATTATCCTTCAACTCAGTTCGATATAATAGTTTAAACAATATATACTTTCATGTCATCCACATAACTCCTTTGTTTTATCTTCATTAAAGCAATGCCATTGATCTGTCGAACCCTCTCTCTTGAGAGTTTCAACACCCTCCCTATCTCCTCAAAAGACCTTGGCGTTTTTCCATCAAGTCCAAAATGTAATCTTAGTATGTGGGATTCTCTTTCACTAAGGGATTCGAGCAACTTATCCATCTCGAGCTTCATATTATGTCTTTCTATGGTGTATTCCGGTGTTGTTTCCTCGGGCCCTTGTATGATCTCCTGTAACAGATGTTAACTCCATAGAGTTATGAACAATAAATGAGATAAAAATGATCTCTCATAATTTTTGTCTTGATCTTTTGTTAGCTGCATATGTAAATCTACAGTTAGTTGAATACTTCCTCACAAGAAAATGAGATACTGAACTTTATACCAGACTTCAAACTAAGAAAAAAAACACTATGTGAAGTCTTGATTATTTATGAGCAAAAAAAGAGGTGAATAATAAGGAAGGGCGAGGCTTCCTAAGGTTTGAACTCTACATTTGAATCTCTTATCCGTGTCTAATTAATTATTTATATGAAAATATTTAAGTCTGTAAGAAACGACTGACTTTCTTTTTCATATGTCTAGACAGTTATCATCAAAAGTCTTCCGGTTGAGTTAGACGTGTTTCGACTCTAAAATATAATCTTTGGGTCAATATTTTGGACATGAACTTCAGATGTGATTTCTTCGAAGGAAGGGAATACAGACTAGGGCATTCAGGATAACTTTTCTCACTCATATCTTCCTTATAAAGAATGGGGTTCTGCAATTTGTCCGGGTACCTGATGGCTAGAGACCAGTGGGTTCATAACACGATAAATAGAAGCAGAGGATCTCATTCAGCAGGTTCGCTCTACCTATGATAAAAAAATTTCTATTTTCTAGAATGTGTGAATTTGTGAAATGCAGTGCTAAATAGGAGTCAACTTGAGAGTTGGCAAGTTTTTCAGATGGCCTGGTGTAAAATCAATACTGATGCAACCTTTTCATCACAGAGCTGGTCAGGCTAAAGATTTGTCTATAAAGACTCGCAGGATACAGTTGCCTTTGCTGGTATGCAAAGTATTTGTAAACCTTTTTCCATTGAATTAGCTGAACAGGCAATATTGTTTTTGCTTTAGGGGTAATAGATAAAATTAGTAATGCCAAGGTAATCGTTGAATGAGATGCACATAAGGCTTTTTTGGTTCCAAATAATTTTTCCTATTTGGGTCTTCTTTTAAATGATATAAGTTCTTTTAGTCATTTCTTTAGAACTGTTTCCTTTTTCAGGTTTCTATATTTTATAATTAGATTACTCACATCTTAACTATAAAGACTTCGTCTCTACCTAATGATGTTGTTTGTATGGAGGAGGCATCTAATTTCATTACCCTTTTTCAATAAAGGATGACTGTCTAGTTCCTTAGTTTATGATTATTTTTTCCTCAAAAAAACAGCAAAAAAAGAACTAAATCTTAGAATTCAAGGTAACCTGGAGTGTTATGTGACCGCGATCAGTAATAGCTTGATCCAGTGAAATGGGTGGTCTGCCTCTCTTGAAAACAAGCCTCACTGTTGAAACTTGCAAGCTAAGCTCTTCTGCAATCTCATCACAGGTAGGCATCCGTCCTAATTTTTTGTTCAATACATTCGTAGCTTCAGCGATTTTCGCCAGCCTTCTTGACATGATTCCCTGCGCATAACAAGCTAACCATGCTTTCAATAGTTACCAGCTTGCTACCAATACTCCTTTCACAGTACAGCAGCAGACAGGAATAGAAAGGGATGATAAATTAGAAAGGATCAACTAAGGCAAGGTTGTGAGAGGTACTAGTCAGGTATTTATATCTTGACTGTTAAAATGCGACTCCTGCAAACTTTTGAACTCAAGGTGACTATTTTCATTTAGTAAACCATTATATGAACAAGTCCACGTGTTTTAGGACTCCATACAGAGAGAAGCATAAGAAAGTTCAAACATATTTGATATTCTCAACTCTATAAGTAAGAGAAAGAAAATTAATGCCAGCAAATTCATAATCTAAAATAGTTATGGTCCTCTAAATTTTAAAGAAAAAGAAAGAACTGACAGTTGAGGACAGGCACTCACCGGTAATCTAACCATCCTAGAATTATTTGTTAAGGCCTTTATGATAGCCTGTTTGATCCACCAGTAAACATAAGTTGATAGCTTATATCCTCTCTCTACATCAAACTTCTCTGCCCCTCGAAGAAGCCCTATGCTCCCTTCCTGCCAAGAAAAAAAAACCCTTTAGCACTGTGTAAAGACCAATACTGAAGAGAAAACCGTATAGAAAACCTGAATGAGGTCTTGGAGGCTTAATCCTTTGCCTTGATAACCAGTAGCAATGGAAACAACAAGCCCTCGGTAGCTCCTTGTGATCCTTTCTCGTGCCTCTCTTGTTCTCCACAAAACTTTATCTACACTTCCCTTTATATTTATGCCATTGGCCAGCCACTTTGTGGTTTGCTGATGTTCTTGCGCATCCTCAAGTAATCTCCTGGCTGCTTCTACCCTCGCTCCGTCCTGTTAATTTGCAAAACCTTCATTTTCAATCATTGGGAAACAAAACCGTGGATCCATTGTCTAAAAGTCCCAGCTCCTGTTGCTATTGGTGTCACAAGGACAGAGGCATATGTACATATAATACTTTCTGAGCCACTATCAATATTGACGGCTAAGAGCCTAGTATCATGGCAGATTACAAATCACACATTTTTAGTTCCATATGAAACACCACCTTCCAGTGCCATATAAGTCATTGGAACACATATATATTACCATCATTTTTTCCCAATTCACTACCAGAATTAGATGTGGGTCTTTAAAGGCAAATTTACACTTTAAGATTTACAAAATTAACTCATAAAAATGCATGTATAAAATTTGTACAAATAAGTAACTAGTTTTCTCCTATTAACTTCATCCTTTGCCATAATGGGTTATTCAGCATATTATTTAACATAGTAGTAATGCCAATGCCCTTGCAACAAGAACCGTATTAGAATATAAGTAATGAATTTAACTATTCTTATCAATTTAAACTCGCAGAAGGAGCAAATGCTCAAACAACATAAACTTGCAGAGACCACTCAAAACATCAATAACCACCCACAACATGAAGAAGAAGACTCAACCATATATGCTGCAAAATCAAACTAAGAAAGAAACAAAAGTTGCTCTTCAAATCACAAACCAAACTTCATAAGGAAATAAAATTCAACAATGGCTATAAACTAACATTCTTATAGAAACTTCATACCTTGATGCACATGCAAAGTTCTGCCTCCTCTCTTGAGCTCAAAAACCCAGATTTAACAGACCCAATAGAAACCTTTTCCTCTCCAACATTGTTCGAATCCTCCCGTTCCGAAAGTTCATGAATCTCTTTCCCCCTTCTCCTCTTCCTCCTCTTCTTCCTTCTCTTCCCCAACCCACAACCACTCCCACTTCTCTCTTCCCAATCAGACCAGCAATACCCTTCTCCGACCCCAGCAGAAGCCAATGCCACAGCCTCCCTCGCCGCTTCCGCTGCGGCTCTTGCCAACGCCAGTGCCTCTGCTGCAGCAGCTATGGTCGACACTGCATCGTTGGCAATCAAAACGGAATGAAACTTACAAGGAGAAGATGGAGTTAGTGATGCTAAATGTTGAAGAAGCTGTTGCTGTTGATGGGTTTTGATAGAAGAGGGAGAAATGGTTGGTGGAGAAGCTGGAGTAGATGCGCATACGGTTGTTATCGCCATGAACGAGGGAGGGAAGATCAGTTCCCGTTGTGGTTGGATAAAAGTTTTTATTCTTTTTAGAAGATTGGGTAGAAGCCTTTTGTAGCCCATGATTGTTTGGAGACTCAGAAGATATTTGTTTGATGCATGAAAAGTCCACAGCATTTTTTCACTTAATTTTTAATTATTATTATTATGAAATAAAATTTATTATAAATTAAAAAATTATTTAAATATAAAAATATTAATAATAAACAAATGCCATATTTATTTTTTTTATAGGACCAAAATTAGAAAAAACTAAAACAAACAGTTCGCTAGTAATCGTAAATCTGATATTACTACACCTATCGAGATACATGTGAAGTTCCATCTTATAATGGTGGATTTCGTGAGAAGATTAAGTAAGAGTTATATTCTATATAAATATTTTATATAATTTTTTAATTATTATGAAACAAGTTTTAAATATAATTTATCAATAAGGTTATTCCGTTTGAATACATTATTAAATAATTGAAAATATTTTAATATATAATTAACCAGTTTTAATAATTAACTTGTTGAATGTTCTAAGTGATAATAAAATAAAAAATTTTAATAACACTCTGAATTTTTATAGTGTTGGAATTATTATGGTAAAAGTTAATAATAAAATTGACAATTCGTTTACTGATATCATGATTAAAGTACCATTCATAACATCGATATATGAGTTTTTTTCTCAATAATTCGTATTCAACTCGGCATATCTTTATTGAAAAATTATCTAACAAATTTAAAAAAAAATCGCTCAGGGTTTTGAAATGAATAAGGGGATCATGACGAAGATGGACATCATATAATTCATAAAGTTTGATAAACAATATCCATTATAATTGACATGTTATTACTTTACGTATTATCACGAATAAAATCGATATAAAATTTTTTAAAAGATATATGTTATGAACAGAAAGATAACTTTTCAACTTGCAATATTTGTGAATGTTCATATTTATATTTAAATTTATAATAGACCACAAATTAAATAAAATAAAAAAATCTATCAGTAATCTCACTCATTGCTTGACAATTGGTACACTAATCTTTCGTAGTAGTATTTGTTTTACAAAGATTAAATTGATACATTAATAAAATATAATTTTAATATACTTATTAAAAATATTATTTATCCTTTAAAATATATATATATTTAATTTTATTAAAATCATAAACAAATTTTACTTTTATTTAAAAATTGTATGTTACACATTACTATATATTTATTTTAAAAATATAGTAAAATGACTACACACAACATAAACTCTTTTCGCTCATAATAACATAATTATTTTGTATTTTAATTAAAAATATTTTTTACTTATATATTTTTTATTAATATAAAATAATATTTTAAAATTTTTAATATAATAAAAATATTTTATTAAAATATATTATGTGAGTATAAATCTAATATTTACTTACAAAAATCCACCCATCAAATTTGAGCAGGCAGAAAAAGGGGCCCGCCAAGTTTTGATTATTTCCTCTTCATTTTAGCCAAAAAAAAAACAAAGAGAAAGAAAAGGCGAGAGGGTAGAAGCCACGCCAGCTTACTGAACTCTCCCTCGTCTCTGCTCTTTCTTTCCCGCCAAATTCATATTGTACTTTTCTTGATCGAAACCCTAGCTATGGTTTCAATGACCTGATCCGAACCATACCGTCTAGGATTTTGGCGGACTATTCAATTTTGGAGACCTCTCTAAATTCAGTGACGATTACTTATCGCCTCCTCAAAAATGGAGGGGCGTCGCGCGAAACGCCCCAAAATCTCAAGGTTCCTACGCTTTTCCTGTTCGCTATTTCACTCGTTTTTTCCTTATGCTTCCGTTTACGCGCATTTTTTTTTGAATTATGTTAGAAATTCGTTGTAATCAGTTATGAAGATTGGGAATTTGAGTTTACCACGGGTTTTGTTATTCTTGTACTTAGGGAGCTTAGGAAAGAAATGATGTTGAGAGAATTTTGGAATATTCGGCTCTATGTTTTACGTATTATATTGAGTGGATGTTGTAACTGTTTTTCAATATTTAGGTCTTGCTTACAAAAAGTTTGTTGCTTTTTATTTCTTTGGTTGATGGAAGCATGAGTCAGGAAACAAATTTAAGAGATGGCAATAAGTTGGGTCCCTGCTGGATCGATTGAGGATGAAATTCGGGCTTGGGAGGGTGTTGGATTAAAAACAGAAATAGCGAAACTTATACCTTTATCCATTTTTTGTGTTTTATGGAAAGAGAGGAACTTGAGAGTTTTTGAAGGAGTTGTGAATAATATAAACAAGTTAAAAGAGAGATAGCTCAATTATTTTGGCTTTCTTGTACTTGGTCATGACATCATCAGGGATGAGGAGTTTGGGGACGTCCTTGATACACTAACCAATTTGTAAATCTCTTATATATGGGTGCTATCCCTTCTTGTTTGGTACCATATTAATATAATTTCTATACTTTTTCTTTAAAAAAAAAAAAAGATGGCAATAAGTTGAAGTTTTGGGATTTTGGTTATTAAGATATTAGGAACAAAGTGAGAATAATTTAGATATATTTTATTTGTTTTGTCCAATGATATATGTTACTTGTCTTTAGTTTTTGATATTTACATATATATATATGCTTAATGATTAAACATCAAAACTGTTTTCGCATGATAACACTAAGTAATTCATTAAAAAGGGGGTCAAATGGGTGGCAACCATGAGAAAATTAATTTTTTAGGGAACTTAATATTCTATTTGGTGGTTACAACTTGTAGGAAAAGAAAAGTGAGAGGTGAGATTTTAATTTAAGATATATTTTTTTTTCTACCTGGGAGTCTTGGGGTGATCCATTCTGATGGAAGATTGTTTCTAGTTTTTTGTTTTTGCCTTTTCCTGTTTGGTCAATTTGCTTAACTTTGTCATTTGGCATATATTCTTTATTTTTGTTATGAAAAGTTATATTGTTCTCATGTGGTTTCCTCCTTTTTTTGCCGCCATTTTGACCCAATTTGTTAAGCAGTTAACAAGCTGATATATGTAAAGTAGTTTTTATTGTTTAGAAAGAATTAAAATCTAAATGGATCATCCTTAAGTTTTAGTTCAATTATTAAAATGATGGAGAATCAAGAGAACTTCTGGTATGTTTTAAAGTTCAAAAGTTGAGTTGATCATTTGGTCTTAGAATTGGCTTTGAGATTATACTCATTTCCTATTCTTTCTTAACTATTATGAGGAACTTATGATTCAGGTCTCCAATATGTGGTAGCAAGAAGTGTAAGATAAAGGAAAGGGGAGAAAAAAAGAAGAGGAGATTGAATGTTTAAATATATTAAGTTTAACACTGGTTGCAGTTAATTTTATTTACTTTTGTTTTCTCATTTCCTATTCTTTCTTAACTATTATGAGGAACTTATGATTCAGGTCTCCAATATGTGGTAGCAAGAAGTGTAAGATAAAGGAAAGGGGAGAAAAAAAGAAGAGGAGATTGAATGTTTAAATATATTAAGTTTAACACTGGTTGCAGTTAATTTTATTTACTTTTGTTTTCTCATCTTCATATCAGGAACTAGATAAACACTTAACATATGATTCCTTTCCTATTTCATTTTTAAGTTAGGAACAATGTTCAACATTGTTAAATTTTGACTCTTTTTTTCAGAGGCGAAGATGATTATTTACCAGGGAATATAATTGAGATTGAGCTCCACAATTT